GAACTCTAGAACCACCTAGCGAAGTCTGGAAGCGGGCCAAGTGGTGCAACGACAACAACCTTTCCCTAGATGTGGGGAAAGCACAGGAAGTTGTCATCACCCAGCACCTCCCTCTGAAGTGGAACGCATGGGCAGCACCAAAGTCCTTGGTGTGCACATCTCTGAGGACTCTCCTGGAACAACAACACAGCTTCACTTTCCAGAAAAGCCCAGCAGTGCCTCCACTACGTCCAGAAGCTGAGGAGAGCCGGAGTCCTGGCCAACACCGTGAGGACTTCCTACCGCGCCACCATGGGGAGCCTCCTGACCAGCAGCATCACCATGTGGTTACGGAGCTGCAATTCTGCAGGACCCTGCAGCACATAGTGAGAACATCTGAGAAGATCGTTGGCCCCATTCCCCAGCCTCCTGGACATCCCCGCCTCCACCCCCCACACACCCTCTTCAGGCTGCTGCCTTCTGGGAAAAGATGCCGAGCCTCCAGGCCGCTCTGCCAGACTGAAACAGGTCCATACAGCAGGCTGTGGGCAGGCTGGACTCTCTCCCCCTCAAGCCCCAACAACAAGGACGATGAGCCCGGCCATCACCCTCCTCCCCCACAAACTACCTGAACTGCAGCCAGCAACACAGATTTTAAAACCTCAGCACACGACACCTTCCTGATTCACAACAACCTCACATTTGAACAGCACATCAAACAAGTCACAAAAACAGCCTTTTTCCATGTAAAAATATCGCCCGTCTCCGACCATCCCTCTCCCTCCCTGCAGCTGAAACACTCATCCATGCCTTCATCACCTCCACACTGGACTACTGCATTAGCCTCTCCATGGTTTACCCTCCAGACTCCTCAAAAAACTTCAGCTTATTCAAAACTCTGCCGCCCGTCTCCTCACCCACAACCGCTCACATCACCCCCGTCCTCCAGCATCTCCACTGGCTCCCTGTCAAAGAGCGCATCACATTCAAGATCCTCCTCCTCACCCACAAAGCCCTCCATCATCTGCCCCCTCTACCTCACAGACCTGCTCCGGCCCCACACGCCTTCCTGCAGCCTCTGTTGCTCCTCTGCTCACCTCCTCGCCCCACCACCAAGGACCGAGCTGGGGGGACAGAGCCTCTTCTGCTGCTGCTCCACCCTCTGGAGCTCCTTCATCTCCCATCCAACACTGCTCTGACCTCCACACATTCAAGTCCCTCTTAAAAACTCACCTTTTAAGATCACTTTTAATGTTGAACTCTTGTACATTTTTCTTTTTTACCTGCCTTCTCTTGTTTTTTTTAATCTGTTTTGTATTTAACTGGTTTTGTTCTTGTTTTTATCTTTTTCCTGTTAAGCGACTTTGAGCATCATGAAAAGTGCTTCACACAATAAATGTGTAATTATTATTATGACTCCAGCTTCTGGCTCTGCTGCTCATCCTACGGACCAAACAAAGAGCAGATTCCTGCAAGTCGACTCTGACTAAGTCTGGAGTCCAACATCAGAACCGCTTCATCTGGAAACTCCTCATCTGCTCAAGCATTGATTACTGACTGATTGATCAGGTGTTACTGATTGATCAGGTGTTACTGA